TCCTCTCCGACGCGCTCACGAGCTAATTAAGAAGCTCCCCACCAGCTGCTGAAAGCCCTGAAATTGCACCAGCGTGGGCAAGCCCGGCACACTCATCGGCAGCAAGCCCCAACCCGGCGCGGCACTTAGTCACTCGCAGCCGAGGCACAGGCGTCCCCTCCGGTCACTGCCCACGTGGGGACAACAGGTAGCGCCGATAGCCCCTGACCCCCTAATTACAGCGCTGCAATAACGAGCCCTGCTGTTTGTTGTTGGAGCCCACGTGTGAAGTGTCCCCGCACCGCCCCGGCCCATTCATTATCCCCGTGACCCATTGATCACCCACGGTCACACCGGCAGAAGAGGTGAACGCTGGCGCTGAAAGATCACTTAATTAGGCTTCTTGCCACTCGGGATGGATTAATAGCACCGAATCCAGGCTCGGGCAGACGGAGCAGTTTAGCAAGCGAGGCCTGACGGGGAGACAAGTTCAGGACCTGGGCAGGTCTGAAACGCAGCTCGGAAGAACGGCAGTTTAGGTTGAGTTTTTACAGCCACCACATCTGGGGCTCGCTGGATGCTTTTAAAAGCACAGCCTCGACTGGAAGCGCCCAGAGGTATCCAAAGCACAGCATGTTACAGAGATCTGCCCACTTTAACGAGAAAAAAAAAAATAACCTAAAACTCCCCAAGCCGGAGCCCAGCCTGCGGGTTTTTCTTCCCACCATTCTCATGCCAAGAAGGAGCCGAGCGCTCCCCGGCACGGCGCTGCGCTAACACGATTAGCCAAGCAGATCCACCAGCCAAATAAGTCGCCCCCAACGCATGGCCAACGTTGAAAAGTTCAGCAGCTCAACAGGTGAGGCCGTGAAACCCGATCGCGGCAGACAATGTCGTCCCCCCCAGCGTCGTGCTGGGAAGAACTTGTCACGTGCGTCATATCGGGCAACATGCTTGAAACGGAGCGGCGCGCTGAAACCCCAGCAACACGAATAATCTTTGCCATCTGTTTGAACAACTCAACCCTCCTCAGATCTGGAGGAATGAGCCCATGCAAACACAAGGGCCTTGCTGACTGATTATAGCAGCCCAGCCCTTCTTTTTTGGGGCCGTTTGCTTCCGAACTTGGCCCGGCGACCAAAGGCGATGGCGGTGGGAGCGGCCGAGGGGGCACAGCCGGCCCCGCTCCTGAGCGCGAGGCAAGGGGAGCCACGAAAAGTCAGCAGGACACAACACACGGCCAACAGTTGTTTTTTTCTATGATATATTTTTACCTCAAGTAGATAAAATCTCAACGGGACGCTGCTTGGCAAAGCCACCCTGGAGAACACGACCGTCCCTTGGGACGCGCTGGTTCCAACCCCGTGTGGCTCCTGGGAGCGCGCTGGAGGAACCACTCCTCGCTCAGCCACGGGGGCTTTACGTGGAGCTCCCCTGGGAGAAGCGGGCCCGTTCCCGAGCTTCCTGGGGCCAAGGAGCTGCGGGACACCCCGTGGAACAAACACGGGGAGCTTGCAAACACCGGGCTGTGGTGGGACAGCGGGGTGGCTGCAAAGCGTGGTGGCAAGCGGGATGCGGGTGTTTGACTTGCTGCCACTGTAAATTTGGGATTTTTACGGCCAAACACAGGGGTAAAATTCTGCCTCGCTCAAGATTTACCCTCGGTTTAGCAGAGCTTTCACCCCTCCGAGCCATCAGCTGCCTTATCCTTGCTCTGCTCCCAGCAACGCCCTGCTCAGCCCCACCCTGGGGCAAAAAGGAGACTCCTGGGGGGAAAAAACAAACACAAAAACAAATACAAAAACAAAACCCCCGAAATACAACAAATAAGGACATTTTCCCTTTCTTCAACAAATGCCACGAAGCAGCGCTTTGCACTTTAAGGTCCCCTCTGCTTATTTAGGTGGCCGGGGAGTGTAAGAAACGCACGCCTGAAGCTGCTCGCTGCTCACAGCCGGGCCTGATCCTGCTGACCCTACCCAGCTGGGCGTTTCGGCACAGAGGAAGACGGAAAAAAAAAGGAAAAAGAAAAAAAAGAAAAAAAAATAAGAGAAAGCAGCCGGCGTGCCCAGGGGTCCTGGCGGAGGGCGCAGACTGGTCGATAAATCAGCGAGGGGGAGCGGGGCTGGGAACGCTCAGCCGCGGCAGGACCGGGTGCCACAGCCCACCGGGCCCGAAGTGAGAAATAAAGGAAAAAAAAAAAAAACTAAACACATAACCCTAATGACACCGTGTTTTTTTTTTTTCCCCGTACATTAATTACAGGACAAAAGGCTTTCATGTCCCGACTGTATTAAAAGCGCATCGTTATTGCGCGAAACGGGAGGAGATGCAAAGGAAAGCTGAACGAGGGACTTCTCAGGCTGGGGAGAAGCAAATCCCCCCCCCCCAGCCCCTCCAGCAGCTTCCAGGGGCTGTCGGGGGCCGTTCGCCCGCCCGGACGGGCACACACGCGGCTGAGCTGCCGCAGCCCCGCTGCTGCGCAGGGAAACTTCGTGAGTGCCCCAGATCCCGGGCGCTACTTACAATTAGTTTGCAGTAGGGGCTGGATCCCTTTCTCCTCTGTCATGGTAAATATTTTCCCTACAAGCAGTTAACATGCTGCATTCATTACCGGGGGGGCAACCCCCACAACGTGCGGACCGAAGTTGTTTCCATTGGATTCGCAGCTAACTCGCTATCGAAAATTTATTTCAGTTTTACTTCTCCCTCTGCTTTTTAGGAACAGAGTGGTCAGCACCCCCGATGCCGTTTTGCCTTCCAAACAAATGGGAAAAAAACAAATTCTGCTTTAAACTCCTCCACTTAACGGCAAATGGAGCAAGGAAAAAAAAGTTTGCAGTCCCTCCTTCGAAAGTTACTGTACGTGAAAGCTGTAGCACGGCGCAGCACTTACAGCGCTGTGGGTAGTCACAAATACCCCCGAAAACAAGTTTTCATCAAGCCCCACGAGCAAATTTGAGATGATTCTGCCTCTCATAAATCTGCAGAAACTTTCCTATGGGATACTTCGTTGCAGGGCAGCAACAACTTTTTAAAGAGGAAAAAAAAAAACAAAACAAAACAAAAAAAACAACCCAAGAAAACCTCCCAGCAGATCTGACCAGATTTAACTAAATGCCTGTGGAATAAAATCTCCTTTCCATAAGGTGTGGGTCAAAACTTGCATCTTCGTCTTTTCAAAGCCAGGCAATGGGGTTAAACTGCAACAACCGGGCACTCACACTGCCCCAGGTCCAAAGTTCAGCCCAGCCAATTTGTGCAAAAGCATCTGAAAAAACGGGGACGAGGCTCACCCAGCGCGGTGCACGGCTCCTGGCACGGCAGATATTTTACAGCATTTTTTTTTTTATCGAATTTTATTGGGCCATTAACAAGCAAACACAAACGCTTCTCCTTATTGCCATTAAGATAATAAATAAAAGCCTCACTGGGGCTCGTGGAAATCGGCGTGCTCTCGAGGAGCCGATTCACTGGAGGCAGGAGGAGTTTGGGGCTGGGCAGCGCCCGATTTCTAACGCTGAAATTCAGAAAAACAAATTCCTGTGCTTATTTCAAAGCAAAGCTAGAAATAACGCGAGCACTCGTCCGTTGATTTGAGCCAATTCCTCTCCCTGTGTGTCGGGCACCGAGACATTTATTGAGCCTCCCTCGCTCCCCGAGCCCGGTGCCGGCTGAGCGCCGGGGGCTCGGACCCGAGGAGCGGCCAGGTTTCGGGGCGAGCAGCCCTCTGCAGAGCCTGGGGCTTGGGGAAATTGGGCCCGTGCTGCTCCAGTTGGGGCAGCTGAGCCTGAGAAGGGGTTTAGGAAGTTAAGGGCAACTTCGATGGCAGCTTCTCCCAATGTAAGCGCGAGGGGTGCCCTCCGCACGGGGACTGGCGGCCGCTGCGCCTGGGCCAACAGATCGGTGCCGTGGCGAGCGTTATTCCCTCCTTCTCCCCATCCACCTCCTGCTTGTAAAAGATTAATCAACCATTTTACGGTCTAATTTAGGTGCCTAATTAAAAACAGAGTTCAACACCTACAACACCATTTCGCTAATAAACCCTGACAGCCCCTCAGCTCCGCAGCACACAAGCCCTCCTTTCAAAACCATTTTTGCAGGGAAATATTTTTTTTCCCAAACGCACCGAGATTTCCCCTGCGGCTGCTCCGGGACGACCCGCCGCATCCTCCACCCAAATCCTACAATTTCCTAAAACGAAAGCGCTCCCAGGAACGCCTCCTGCGTGGCCAGACCCCAACCCGCACCCCCTGACCACCAGCCGAGGGCTGGCACCGTCCGAAATCCACGGAGAACCCCGAGGGTGGCAGCTCCTGGGGCTCAGCACCGCTCGGCTGCCACCCGGCCACAAGATTTGGGTCGCTGCTCCCTGCACGCAGCCAGCGGATGTCGAATTAAACCCGAATTAAACCCGAATTAAACCCGAATTAAAGCTGAATTAAAGCCGAATTAAAGCTGAATTAAAACACGGAGGCGCCGGGGGGGGACGCGAAGGCGCTGCCGTCGGGGCTGCGCATCCCCCCCGCACCCTGCGGGCTCCCGCACGGGGGCATCTGCGGGAAGCGGTGCCGCGATTTTGGAGCTTTTTTTAAAATGCTTTTTATGCTTTTCAATGCTTTTAATACCGCTTTTACCGCCTCGCCCGCCGCCGGCCGCTTCCCCGGCCCCTTCTCCCGTCCCCTCTATGAAATTCCCCCCCCCGGGGGTCCCGCCCCGGCCGCGCTCCGAGGGTGCGGGAAACGGAGGCGCCGGCAAATAAATAATAAAAATAATTGAAAATAATAAAAAATAATAAAAATAAAGCCCCGGGAGCGCGGCGAGACGAGCGGCGGGGAAGAAAAAATAAATTAATAATAATAAAAAAAAGCGTTTCTGTGTGATTCCAGCACTGAGCGCACCGAGGGTAACGGGGCCAGCGGGCTCAGGGCTTTTTTGGGGGGGGATTTTGGGGTTTTCCCTGGAGGCGGGGGGATCGCGGAGGAGCCGGGAGGGGCGCCCCGTGCCGTGCCGTGCCCTACCTGTACCAGGCGAGGCCCCGCTCGTAGTTGCGGTCGAAGAAATGGGGCTCGGCGCCGACGGCGCGCACGTCGGGGTGCACCCGCAGGAACTCCAGCAGCGCCCGCGTCCCCCCCTTCTTCACGCCGATGATGACGGCCTGCGGCAGCCGCTTGCTGCCGGTGCCGTCGGTCAGGCTGGAGATGGGGCGGGCGGCCTCGGGCAGCCCCGGGGGCGGCGGGGGAGGAGGTGGGGGGGGGGCCGGGCCGCCCCCCGACGGACCCCGCGGCTCCGGGGAGCCCCCGGGGGCCGCCAGCCCGGCGCAGGAGCCGCCGCAGGAGTAGAAGAGGCAGAGCCAGAGGCCGAGCATGGCGCCCAGCAGCAGCAGCCGCCGCCGCAGCACCGAGGGCACCGCGCCGGGCACGTCGAGGCGCCGCTTCAGGGGCTGCCCCATGTGCCCGCGGCCGCTCGCGGCTGCATGGCTGGGGCGGCTCGGCTCGGCTCGGGGCCGCCCGGCTCGGCTCGGATCTGCCCGGCCCGGCCCGGCCTCAGCGCGGCCCCGCGGCCGCCCCCTCGGCGCCCCCCGCCCGGCCCCGGCCCCGGCCCCGCTCTCGGCGGCGCCGCCGCGGGCAGCGCGGAGCCAAGGCGGAGGGGCGGGGGACGGGGTAGGGGAGGCGGGTGACGGGCAGAGGGCTCGGCCAATCAGCGCAGCGCTCCGCCGCTTGGACGGCCCGGCTGCTGGGAGGGAGCGGCCAATGAGAGGGGAGGGGCGGGGAGAAGGGAGGGAGCGGGGGGGAGGAGAGGCGCTGATTGGCTGCGGCGCGCTGAGGGGAGCCGCGCCCGGGGCTGCCTCAGGAGCGGCCGCGGTACGGAGCGGGCGGCAGGGCGATAGGCGACACGGCCACGCGCTGTCGCGACAGGCGACGCCCCACGCCCGTGCTGCTCGGGTGCTGCCCTCAGCTCCCAAGTCCCCCAAACCAACCCCCCTTTGGGTGCTGGGGTCAGCACCGTGCCTCCGCCGCATCTGCCAGCCCTGCAGCCGGGGCTCCTCCGCCTGCTGAGCGCTGTTCCCCCCGCTCTGACCCCGCAGCCCCCAAATTTCGGAGCCCCCCGAGCCGAGCTATGGGGTGGGGAAGCGGCACCCGCCCTGCCCCGGGCTGCCGGCACCCACCCCCGAAACAGCACCGCGGGGGGGGGTTCCTCGGGGGCTGCGTCCATGGGGTCTGCGCCTCGCCTCCTGCTGTAAAACCACAAAAAATGGGAGATTTGAGGGGATTTCAGGCCCGAGCCCACAGCATGAGATTTCTCCCCGTACCCGGTGCGCCCCCGACCCCCGTGGGGAGCAGCCTGGCCCCAGCAGCCTGGCCAAGACACCCCCAGCCTGGGCTGCCCCCCGGGGCCTTCACACAAGAATGTTAACCAGCCGCCTTTATCCCTAAACAAGATTTAATGACAAAATTGTAAGTTTAATTGCTAGAGGAAAGACACGGGTTCAGAGGTCTCTCTACTGTACAGACACAAAGGAGAGCCATAGGACAGGATGATGCAGTTTGGGATTTTGCCTGTCAATCCGCATTGCCCTGGGTTCGGCACGGCTCCGGCTGGGGCCCTCCTGCAGGCCCTCGGCCAGGCTGGGATTCACGGGGACCCAGGACCATCCAGGCTGGGAAAGACCTTCAGGATCACGTCCAACCACCTACCAAGTCCCTCACTAATCACGTCCCCATGTCCCTCACTCCCCTGCGCTCACTGCTGCAGGGATTTCCCAGCTGGGGCTTGGGCACTGATGGCACAGGGTGACACTGGGGACATCTCTGCCATCACCTCCTCCTCCTCCCCAAAGCACTCGGATGTGTGAGAAACAAAGTGGTGTTTCTGCAGAAGGATGTGTTTGTGCAGTGATCGTTTCCCACAGATATGTCTCTTCTGTGGCTTTTTGATGAGCCACCCTCCCGTGGCTCTGTGTTTGACGAAGTCCCTGCCTCTCCACAACCCCCCTGTGAGGTTGCTCACCACCCATGTGCCGGGAGCAGCAGAGGCCAGGCAGCAGCCTGCAAAAGCAGAATTTGTGCATCTGGCAGAGCTGACTGCGGCAGCGCTGGGAGCCTCCACTCCAGGACCAGGTCACGCCGGTGTTTTCCAAAAAGCCTACGGGAGCTTTGCACACACCACGGATGTGCCCAGTGTGACGCTCATCCAACACGCACGCAGCCTGGCAGCTTCAGTGCACGTTCAGTGCAGCTTTTTCTACCACTAAAGACGCAGAAAATACCGTACCGAATGAGCCTGATTTCAGAGCTCTGTTGTTTTGAGGGAACAGCGAAGCTTTGCTGAAACCTCTGCCTTTTTTAATGTTTGGCACCAAACTTTTGCAGAACAACAGGCAAATCTTTTACCCACCACGGGCCTTGATCTTGTGTGTCAGAAGTGACAGTGTGGTGCCGATTCCTTCATGTATCAGCTTTACTCCTTCATGTTTCAGCTTTCCATCAGCTCATGAAGAGCCCCGTGCAAGAGCTGGTGGTTCTGATCACGCTGGGTGTTGTGCTATATTGTCTAGTAAAATTACCCCCGCTACAAAGAGTTATGGACTAATTAAACCAGACAGATCGAAGAGGGGAAATAAGGCCCTGAGAAGTGCGTGACTTCTCCAGGAATTACCCAGAGGGCTACCAGCAGAGCTAAGAGTGCTCGGGCCACCCAAAGCCCGCCAGGAGCAGTGCCGGGAACCATCCTGCCCAGGACCAGGTGTGTGCGAAGCAGGCGTTGGGAGCACACAGGGAGATCCGTGCTGCAGCTCCGGAGCCAAACTGCGAGGCATCTCAAAGCACTCCTCTGCTCTGAGCTAAAATAGACAGCGTTGCTGGGCTGGCTGGGGTATGGAGGGTGCCGTGAAGCAAGCAGTGATGAGAGGCAGGCGCAGGAGGAATTGTTTTCTAGTTCCTCTGCATGCTGGCAAAGCTCTGCCAGCCGGGTAATTGGAGACAGAATTAAACAGGAGATGTCCAGGGCTGAGCCCCAGCTGCGGGCAGCAATGTGCCTGCAGGTGGCACAGGCTGGCTCTGCTGGACCCGGCCGCTCTCCTCTCTGCCCCGTGCTTCCCACAGCCCCAGAGCCTGCTGCTTCCACGCACAGGTTGCTCCCTACAGCCAAGGCAAAGAGGAAAACCCTTTGGATGGAGCAATTCTTCCTGTTCCTTACGTCTACCAGCACCAGCCAGGCTAACATCAACAAATGTCACAGAAAGTTTGGTTTAAGCTCTTAATATATGTCAGCTGTAGCTTGTAAAAGCTGGATTGGCTTTTTAAGCAAAATAGCCCCAAGATAGGTTTTACTGTAATTGTATCTTCTGCAGTTGGCCTTCAGTTTTCTTCCTAGGACTGCCAAACAGGTAAGGTATCAGAAAGAGCAGCCGAGCTGAGGCTGCTGGGCTGCCCATGGAGCAGGGGCAGGCGGGGAACCAGCGGGGGCTCCGGCCAGACCCACCCGGAGCTGGGCTCCAGCAGGGCTCCAGTGCCTGCCCCTGGCTCCTGCAGTTTGTCCGTGTGCCACCTGCAGCAGCTGGGCTGGAGCACGGGGCTCCTGCCCTGCTGGTGAGAGCAACCGGGGCTGCATCAGGAAGGAATGGGCACAAGGAGAAATGCCAGGCTGGGTTTGCTCCGTGCCTCTGCCCTTGGATCACCGCAGTAGCAGATCACTGCTCAGCCCCTAATGCTGAGCTTCTTCTTGCTTTGCCTTTCCCCAGATAGAAAATCCGTGTGTCCTTTTGGCAAGAGATATTTTTTTCTGCCACTGAAAAGGCCGTTCTGCAATGCTAGGTGTTCTCTTTCTTTTTTTCTGAACTAGGAAGACTTTTATGTTCACGGCAGGGCGCGCACAGCCCTTAAAGCTGTGCAGGAGCAGCTGGTCCTGCTGGGGGAGAGAAATGGGAGCAGGGACCCGAAATCAAGGCAGGGTGCTCCTGGTCCCACTCCAGACAGGGCGCAGCTTTCCTGATGTGGTCTGAAGCACCTCACTGTTTTGTCTGAGAACAGTCATCACCTCATCATGATCGTGACATTAATCGGGTGTGTGTTCGTGGGGAATTGAGTATTTGGAGCAAGCAGCCCAGGATTGCTGTGACATGCAGTGACCTGGCCGGAGAGGAGGTGGCCAGCCCAAAGCACCTCCTCCTGGGGACTGTACAGAAATATGAGAGGTAGGGCTTTAGTCTGCAGCTTCTGCTTGCTACCACTGCCCTTTTACATCCACACGTATCCGTCTATGATGGTTTTTCTTTGATGGCCTCTCACAGCACGCTGAGATGTCCCTAAGTCACCAGGCCATTTCCCCAGCCCTTGCCCCTGTGCGGGGTCCCAGGGAAGAGAGCTCCTGCAGGCGTTTACCCCATTTCTTCCTCGCTGAGCAACCCTCGGTGCTGTCCTCTCTTCCTCTCTGCCACGTGTGCCCTCTGCAGGGTGTGCTGCGGTCTGGTGCACCGCTGTGATTTTGGGGCCAGAGGAGGGGAGCTGGGACACCCGGCGTGTGTCCTCTGTACCCCAGCAGCTCCCTCACTGCCCACATCTGCTGCACTCATTCTGATGTCACAGCAGTGAGGTGACAGCCAGGGGAGAGAGCTGAGGGCATTTTTCTCCTGAAAAACACGCGCTTTAGTACCAACCCAGGGGGCACAGCTTGCCCTGAGCGCTACCTGGGCCGGGACTGCTGGCAGAGCAGCCAGTGCCCACCCCAGGGGGGTGCCAGGGCTTTTACCCCAGTGCCACAGGCTGCCCCCGAGCTCCCAGATGTGGCTTCAGAGCCACGTCAGTGCCCGGGGACACCCAGAGGACGTCGCTGCCTCTCGCAGCAGCTCGTCGCGGAGGCCCGAGCGTGCTCCAGCCGGGCAGCGGGCAGCACCACTGTACAGATGTAAGAGGAGATCTTGTTTCTCTCAACCTGAAACCATTTCCTTTCCCCCGCTGCCCTCCCTCCCCTCCCTCCCTAATTTGTCCCCGAGGGTTTAATATCTATTTCTCCAAGTGCCACGGGCCAAATTTACTGCTCGCATAACTCCACCGACTTCAATGGAGAAGAGCGTTTAGGGTGCTCCAAGGAGGCGTAAGTAGGAGTGATGTGATGGAATTGAGTAAAGGAAAATATAGCCTGATTGTCAAGAAGAGTTTCCTACCAGCGAAATCTATAGACTGTGGAAGTTTCCCATGGGAACAGGCAGAAACCAAGTTGCTGAAGTCATTTTAAAACAGCACAAGAGAATAGGAAATCAGCCCAGCGACCGGCCAAAAGGAAAGGCGAGATGACATAATGCTACTTCTCCTCCTCTCGTTTCTGCGGCTGCATTGCTTTGTCTATGCAATTATTTTCATGCAACTGGATTTCTCCTTGTTTCTGAGCGATGCGACAGCCCTTGCTGCTCCTGCAGATGTTTGGATTCCTGTGCTAAATTCTGTCCTGGCTTACAGAAACACCCGCTGCAGCCCCCGCTGCTCCTCCTGTTTGTCCTGCTGAGCGCACACCTCCTCTGGGCTCTCTCCAGGTTTCTCCCCTGCCTTACCTGACTCTTGGGCTCCTGCATTTATGAGGCTGTACCAAATCAGTCAGCCTAATTTGGGAATAATGGCAGGGCTCCTTCAGGTTGACACAGGCTACGGATGCTACCGATGCATATCTGCAACTTACTGGCAAGCAGAGGAGAGACCAGGGCTGGAAATCTTCCTATCTCCATGGGTCCTTCAGGCAGATTCCTGGTAGATCATCTGCTGGAAAATCATAAAGGCAATTAGCACATCAGGAACACTCCTTTCCCTGGTGACTATCGGGTCCGGCAGCTCCCGCCTGCCTGTTTCGGGCTGGGTATAGGAAACCAGGTCCGCACACGCCGTGGGCATGCCCAGCTACGACCCGGTGGCTTTTGCAATCTCTTGCACATGGCACTTTCTGATGTATTTATTAATGACTTAACATTCGCTCATCGTCTCAACATTAGCAACTTAAAGCTTTGCTGCTCGCAGCCTCCTACCTCGCACAGATAATTACAGATTAGAAGCGGCTAATTTTTATTTTTGTAAAGCTGTCAGAGATCTATGTTTGTTATTATTGTCTCCTAGGTTGCCAGTTGCATAAATACATATGTAAAAACCCCTTTGATCTCTAAGTATAATGACACAGATTTATCAAATGTTTGCCTTTTTCTGTCTCTTTGAAAAGGCTGATTTATGGAGTGCAGTCCCTACCTCCCTTCCTCTCTTGAAATATGAAGTGTTTGTGAGCAGCCAAGGTAATATTTAATATCCTGCCAAGAATCCTTTGCACTTCCTAACAAATGAACTACAACCTAACCAAATGGTTCACATCTGTTTAGCCTCTTCTCCTTTTTAACTAAACAAATTAGCATTAGAATACCTGGGAGGCACACAAAGTCCCTTTCTAGATGACAGAACACAGACAATTATTAGCAAGGGGAGTAACTGTACTGAAAGGAGCAGGCATGGACCCAGCAGATGTTTTCACATCTCCTGTAGTGTCCATGAATGACCCGCACCGCGGCTGACATGCCGCCGTGGCCTTTTGAAGGGGGTGAGGAGTCCATTCACTGCCCCCTCTGAATGCAATTAACGGCAGCGGCCCCTACTAGTGAAATCACGCCGCATTTCATCACAGCAAAGGTAAAATTTGGTGTTTTTTTTCCTCCCGAATGGCTGAAAAAAAGAGCATCGCCCCGTTCCTGCCACCTTGCAGCCAGCTGTCCCGCTCGGAGGGAGAGCGTTCCCCGTGCTTCAGACAGGGAATGGGAAATTCTGGGGTTATTTCTGGTTTTGCTCATGGCTTCTCATCCCGAGTGCCTCAGAGCAGCCAGCTTCATTGCCAGTCCCCACTGTGAAAGAAGGAATCAGGAGAACAGCAAGGTGTAACTGCACATCTGCAAGGTAAGGTCGGGATTAGCACGGGCTTCTCCTGCTGGCACACTGGCACAAATCCACACTCCTCCAGCCATGTGGGGCCTGTCAAGCACCCCTGTTCCTGCCGGAGTCTCCAACACCTTTTAATCAGGCATTTATGAGTGGATTTTGGGGCTGCGGCAGGACAGGATGCAGTGGGATGAACTCTGCCGAGCGCTCCCTTAATTGGATTCATCGCTGACGAAGGGAGCCAAGTGAAACACACGTTTTATTAGGGCTAACGCTCAGCTTTTGTTGTAAACGTTTTGAAAAAGAAAACACTTTAAAGCCTCGCAGAGATACTGCTATTAATATATCATCCAAATAACAAGTGATTAAAACCAACAACAGCTACTACGAAAATGTGGCTTTGTAGCACCGGACCGCATGGGATGCAGCAGGGAAAATCATTATGAGCACACCAGCAGGGTGCAATTATAAATAAACCCAGCTCTGTGCAGGCTACAAAAGCAGCAATAATCGGTCCAGTCTGTGGTTTAGTAAGGGCTAAAGCCATTAACCGACGGCGCTATTTATTACCAGAGACAGGGACACGACTGGATTGCGGGGTGCAACTTCAGGATAAGTCAACAGAGGGAGTTCAGTGCCACCGCGGCCAGGCGAGGCGCAGCCTGCGCATCCCAGCGAGCGGCTGATCATTGCCTGTCCCTCTGCCTGTCTGTCCATCTGCCTGTCTGTCCATCTGTCCATCTGTCCATCCGTCCAGCATGGCCTTCGTGCAGCCCCCATTACAGCAGGTGAAGGGCTGCTGGCATTGGAGCAGCCTCCTTGGCTCGGAGCTGTGGGCTCGGCTGGAGTCCCTTTGGTGCCGCGCTAAGGACAGACCCAGCAAGGCTGAGCTCTGCCGGGCTTTGGCAGGGGTTTAGCAGCGGGGTGAGCCGGGCTTTCCCCAGCGGGTGCCTCCCCAGCTCACCCAGCAGTCTGCAAGCGGCCTCATGGAGCCAGGAGGGCTGATCACGATCAATCCCGATGTACCACCAGCTCCTGCCACCACTCGGCTCAGTTACAAACCAAGCAAGCTGCAGACCGGGGAGAAGACATCTCAGTTCCTCCCCCTGCCACAGGGTGACCGTGTGGCCACGGGCAGCTCGCCTCCCCCAGCTTGCCTCAGTTTCCCCCTGCGCTGGCTGGGAGTCACTGCTGACGGGTGGCGCATCCACCAGCGAGCCCTTGGCTGCTCCGGTAGGAACCTCGGAGGGAAGCTGATAAACTCAGCCTGTTCCTTCCCCCGTCTGGATGCCGTCCAGCAGCTCCCCTGGAAGCACGGCGGAAATGCCTTAATCACCTCGTTTGCATCTCCGTTTCAAGTTTAATTTGATACAGCGCCTTCTCTCCGCAGCCAAAAAAATCCCAACCATCTCCCAGCCTTTGTTAGCACCGCAAATCGTGATCTTTTTCACTGCTTGGAAAACAAAAGCCGAGTCCCCGTGCCAGCCACGTCTTGCTGAATGAGCTCCCACCGCCGTGTGCTGGGCTCCGTCCCGGCAGCCAGGTCCCCCCTGGCAGAGGATGACCCATGGCAGAGCCCCCCCTGCCCGGCTCCTGCAGGGTCCATCCCCCCCAGGCACCACGCTCTGGTCTCTATCTCTTCCCTGACCCAGGGGCTCCCATTTTCCCCATCCCCTTTTTGGAGGAGGACGATGGGCAGCTCAGTAGGGTCCCAGTTCAGGCAGGCTGGGAGAGGCTTGGTTTTCAGCCTCTCAGGGCTGAATTCCCTCAGGTTTGTGTTTGTGTTTAAAGAAAAGACCAGTCTGGCTACAGCTGCAGTTTGTACTGGTATGAATGGTGTATTTTGTAGTACAGAATTCATGAAAAATAGATATCCAAGGAGAGCCAGTCACAGCAGAAGGTGGTGAAGAGGTGAGGGGTGACCAGGACGGACCTTGCCACGTGTCTTGGGCAGCACCGCGTGAAGTGCAGCAAAACCAGGGGGACAAAACGATTCCCCGGGCTGCCCTGGTGCTCTCCGGGGCTGCACGCTTCTGAGACCCACCAAGACACCCTCTGGGTGTTGCACTGCCTCACTTAATCACAGGGATCATGGAAAGGTTTGGGCTGGAAGGGATTGCCAGGGACGGGGCACCCCCAGCTCCTCGGGCAGCCTGTGCCAGGGTCCCACCGCCCTCTGAGCACAGAATTTCCTTTGAACATCTGATCTAAATCTCCCCTTTTTTTACTTTTAAATCACCCCCCCATGTCCTATTGCTATCTGCCTGCTGCTCTCCAGCTTTTCTATAAGCTCAAGTACTGAAAAGCTGCTACAAGGTCTCCCCGGTGCCTTCTCTTCTCCCTCTCCGGGCACCCCTTTGTAGCCCCCGGGCACCCCTTTGTAGCCCCTGGGCTTCACTAAAGCAGAGGGACCGTGGCAGCAGCTCCCCACCAGCTCCCCGGCCGGCTCCGTGCCTGCCACGCTCTGAGCACCGGCTGCATCCCTTCGGAGCCATCAGCAGCAGTGCTCAAACAAGCGTTTGCAAACAAAAACCTCGCAGAGGCTCGGGGAACTCGCAGGATCATCACACATGGACACACCAACCTGAGCCCGCAGAGCTCGCTGCCAAGGCATCAGTTCTCGTTCCAAGGCCTGGAGGTGCCAGAGCTGGGTAGGAGCAGAAGGAAAAACATCTCCGCATTGTGGGAAACCAGCTCCTTTTGCCAGCCCCGTCCTGCGAAACAGTCAAATTGCGCCTTTTGAAACACTGGAAACTCAAAACCAGCCCAAGGCACTGACCTCGGCTGGAAAATCTGCAGCACAGTTAACGCTGGCGGCGGAACACCAGAGGTGGCGGAAAGCGAACGAGGCAAAGCCGAGGGGAGATGCACTGCACACATGGAGCTCCCACCACCTCCTGCTGTTCGGGCCGGGGCAAGCCCGACCAAAGCGAGCCCCAGCAGGGCACAGAGATCGTCTCACTTCCAAAAAATCCTTCCCATTGGGCTGACAAGGTTTGGAGGGCACCTCCCGAGCTTGCTGAACTGTCACAGCCCTAAAAGCCGTTCTCTTTGGCACGATGGGGATGCAGCTGTGGGGCAGCAGCCCTGCCCTGCAGACGGATGCTCCCCACAGGCAGTGAGCAGAAGGGGAAGCAGCCCCACGAGGCTGAGCCACGGCCACGCGGGTAGCACGGGTGACACGCCGAGCCCTGAGCCCCCACCGCGGCCGGCTCTTCCCATGGTTAAGAAATACCAGGACTAGAAACGCCTGCCACGGGGCTGCTAGTGTTACCACCACCAACCGGGCTGCCTGGTAGGAAAACAGCGCTGCTATTTCTGTTCTAAAAGCAAAGCCTCCCGTAGACAGCGTTTCTAAGGGGGGATATCTAACCACCTCTGGAGAGCAACCTGGATAACATGCTTTCTATCTGTAACCATCATGATTTCTAATAGTATCCCTCTGTTTCCATCCCATCCTCATGGGACTGCCGGAGCTGAAAAGACCGTGTGTGTTTTGTGTAAGCCCTGAAACGCCGCGGCCGGGCCAAGTGAGAAACCCTGCTGGAGCCAGGGGAGTGTGAATGTGCTGCTCTGCTGGGGCAGATTATATCGGAGACTGATACAGGAAGCGAGAGAAAAACATGTGGGGAGAGCAGAAGGGAGGGAGCTGTGTGCACAGGGGTTGGGTTTCCTCCCTCGCGCTGGAACAAAGCGGGGACCCCCACCGACCGCTCGCTTTCGGGGCCGCCTGTCACGCCGAGGTGCCGCAGGCGCTGCCTGGATTCCTGCAGCAGCCCTGGCTCCTGGCGAGCGCTGGAGCTCGGGGCAGTCTGAGATCACGGAGCTGGGTTTCCCAAGTCCTCCTGCCTGGCGAGCATTGTACCGAGGTTAAGCAATCTGCTGAAGGTCAGAGCAAGGAGCAGGAGCGCAGGGGGACGCACGAGGCAGCTCTCCGCAGCACCGCTCAGATGCCAGCACTCTCCTCCAAGGCCCGTGAAGAACAATGGGCAAGGGGCTGACAAAACTTGGGCTATCGAGCTGTTCCCTCGTCCAGCCAGGCTAAATATTATCATCCCTACTCTACAGATGGACTGCATTTCCTCGGCAGAAATCTGGAAAGAATGAAGATCCCCGGAGCCTTAGGGCTACTGTTTTATCCACAAAACCAGACTTGGAGGCACACAAAAGGTTTAAAGTTCACATAGACTAAAACAAGCTTCGTCTTCTCCACTCACTGGCCCAGATTCCTCCGTCAGCCTCAGCACAGGCTTCAGGAGGTGCAATGCTG